GATATCAAATCGACGCTTACACGTTTTTCAACTTATAAGAACAGATCTATTGAAAAACATCGATATATTAAAATACAATTAAAAAAATATAATTTTTATAGGATCCCTCATTACCTTCGTTAAACACGAAGAAGCGATAGAGGTTATAGCAGGCTCATCAGCACAAATAATGTGCAGAACAAAGTTACCTGTACGCGAGTGTCAATGGTCCTGGCGAAGATTAGACCAATCCGAATCTTGGAACCTAGAAGTAAAGAGATTTCCAGCCTTTGGAAACGATAGTACCGATTGTAGCATCAAATTCAAAAACGTTCTAGCGGAACAAGAAGGCTATTGGACTTGTGGTGCACGTATAGATCCAAATTCGTCGTTTGTGCGATCGAATCCAGTTCGATTCTTGATATCTGAAGGTACGTGAAAAAGAAGAAATTTAATTCTATTTCTTTATTAAATTTATTTTTCTTCTCTTATTCGTGTCACTTTCTAAATTAATATCTTATTTCAGTTGAATTCGTGCAACTATCTCGCGGCGTACAAGTTGCTGCCGGTGAATCCGTGCTGCTAAGGTGCTTGGTCAATAAACCCGTAATACGCTGCGAGTGGTCCTGGAGATCAACGAACTCGAGTAAAGAACCCTTGCTTGTAAAAACTTTCGCTCCACATAAAGATGCCAATCACGACTGCTCCGTACGATTTAAAAACATCCTTTACGAAGAAGAAGGATTATGGACTTGCGGAATTCGATTATCACCTGATGGTATACTCCATGAAGCACCACCAGCAACTGTTAGTCTTTTACCATCAGGTAAGCATTAAAACAAGATCTTCCTTCTAATCCGATAAAAAGGAGATCGATCTTTTTTTATTTATTTTTGTTATTTTTATGTTTATGTACATTTCAGCTAAAGTCAATTTGGTCGAAATACCAACGGATACTACAGTACCTTTAGGAACCGAAGTTACCTTAAAATGTATTACCAGTAGCCGCGTAGAGAAATGTGCTTGGAGTTGGAAACCACTGCATGGAAACGATCCTGAGATCGTGCTTCGAGAATTTCCAAGTAACGGTGATCTTGGTAGGGATTGTTCACTCGTTCTTCCACATGTTCATACCGAGGAGCAAGGATTGTGGAATTGTCAGGTATCCATACCGTCACTTAATACGATGCTGTCCTCTCCATTCATCAAACTGTTAACATTCGAACAAGGTAAACTTTTATCAGAAGAAAGACGTGTACAGAAACTCGAAATGTACAATTGCTAAATAATACTTTTTTTCTTCTTCCAGAGGAGGTGAAATTTTCAGAGCTCTCACAAGACATTCAAATATCATCCGGTGGTACCATACTCCTACGATGTGTAACGTCATCACCAGTAGAACAATGTCGATGGTCGTTAACACCAGTTAATTCTAATACTACCGTAGTTGTGAAACAATTCCCAGCAGCTGGAAGCGAGTCAAGGGATTGCAGTGTCAGGTTGAGTCATGCCTTAGCAGAGCAAGAAGGTCTTTGGACCTGTGGTGCCAGAATACACGGCCGTGAAAATTACACGGATGCACCACCAGCAAAATTAAGCCTCCTCGAGCCAGGTATCATCGAATCCTGAGAAAAGAATAGACGATCTTGTTGCATAGCGCCCTTCCTTGCACACACGGTCGAGGGTAAATGCACTCCGTATCGTTGATTTCGATCGTTCCTCGATCTTCCACGTAACGACCTTGAGACGATATCTAATCGAATGATATCGCGGAAATTTTTTCGAGAAAGATTCTTAGCCTGTTTAATTTTGAACAACTTACGTACGACTATAGATAATATAGTAATTATAGTAAACAATTTTTTATTAACAATAGAAATAATAAAAGCCGTATCGGCTTTGTTGTTTGATATCACATTCAAATTTAAACGTGTATTCGTTTGTTTTTAATTTATTACAAATTATCGAAGCAACATCGATGGGGCGATCTTGGCGATATTTAGAGATTATATTAACTTATTGTTAATTTGCTTCTAGCCTAAGATATGTGTTTTTTATGGAATAAGGTATGTACGTACATAATCGCGTTCTCAAAACACCCACAACAACGGGTAAAGAATAAAAATCAATCCACGAGTCGTCAATCGAGTTGTTCGAGTATCTTTCATGGTGACGGTGAAAAAGCGCAAGACTAAGAGGTGTGGATCTATGAGATCTTGGTATATTAAAAAGGTCAAGTTTTACATGGGTGTTCCTAGACTGTGATCTTTAATATGGGTCTCGGAAGAGCACATAAGCAACTTTTCTATCTTTCTTCCTATCGTCGTTTTCTATACGTAGTACACAATCGATTAATGGATCGATGCTATATCGATCGCTATGTAGATATTGATTTTTGACTGAATGTAAAATTAAATTTTTTGCAGAACAAGTACTTTCTTGCACTTCGTGACGTAGCACCTTGACTTTTATTCATCAAATATTTCTTGTTTATTTTCTTACTTTTTTTTTTTTTAATGCGCGACCTTAAAAAGCGTCTTATTTTATTTTTACTTCATCACTACATTAATGTTACCATGCATTTTTTATTTAAATGGTGCTACTGTGACACAAATTTAACATTGCATTTTCTTTTTAGCATCAAATCATACTACTTTAATTATATCTCACCATGTACATACAATATTCTTCTTCGTTACATCTCTTTCACATCTACTCGATGAATCGTTAAATCGTTGTATTTAAGATTTATTCTATTGTTTATCATGATATTACTACAATGGCAGGGTGCGTCTATTTTTTTCTTCTTCTTAGAAACGACGTTTATCAGCCAAGATCATACTATTTACTAAATCGATTTTGCATTTAGAACAATAATTATTACATCAAGAAGTACGTGATGATTATGTCACATACGTTTGTATATTTTATCGTTCGTACCATTTCAATTACATTTTTTGTCATTTTCGTATTATTTATTACTTTAATTTTATCGGTAATAAGGTTATATCTATTTTGCAAAGTGAGAACAAATGCGTGCGTGTGCGTGAAAAGAAGAAAAAATTATTATATTGTTTCTTTTAAATTAATTCCAGAGGCTTTTAGAAAAACTTTACAATTTAATCGTTTAATTTATAAGTTAAGGAATCTCAGAAATCTGAATCCTTTAAATTATTAACAATGTTAATATATTAGTAATGCTACTTCTATTATTAATGATCATATTAAAGACTCGCGCGTTTCCTCTAATCATCGTACGTTATATTATTAAATTAACTAATTTTTAAATACTGATATTTCATCTATCATAGAACATTTTGCACTTTGTAACTAAAATTTTGATATTCGTCAGTTCATCTTATTTCTTTTACCAGCAAAAGATTGGAATACTTGGTATAAAAAATTAAATAGAGTGTAATCTTGATCGAATCGAATAGCACAAGTATTTGAACAATATTTTATAGAATATTAAAATTAAGTAGTTAATTTTTAATATTAAGGGTTTAACATCGTATAGATATCATATATTAAACGACAATGTTCTTCGCTATTTTTGCAAAATCCTACTTCATTCGTTAAATAAGTTATAAGCCACAAATATCTTTCAATACAAATGCTTAAATGCTCTGTGTGCCATTAAGTCTATTTGGCTTCTATGAAGTAAATATCATTAAATAGTCTACATTCAATGATTCAATATATATATATATATATATTCAAATTCATATATATATATTGGCCATAAATATTATAAATATTATTACTGTAACCAGCTATACTAAATAAATGGAAATCTTAAACTGGTGCACCAGCCTTTTCATTACCATCGCCTATCTGTACCAGTTAGGTTGACTAAAACATATTTTTTCATTGGGGTGCATTAAATGTGCCATTTAGTTCTACTTATGCACATAATCTTTTCAACACGCTTATACACATTGCATAAATTGATCCCAATGATCTATTATTCACAAGCACTAGAAAAAGCAGCATAGCTTCTGGTGAATGGGACAACGACAATAAGAATAAATGTAAAAAACAATCATAGTGGATAATAATTTATAGAACCTGTGATAGTCACACTTTGGGCCGCTCCTCACCAGATGGTCACTTTGGCTTGTAAACTAGGACGAGTTCCTGTAGAAGCTCAATGTCATTGGATACATGAACCAAATGTTTATATACATCAAAATGTTAATAATACCGAAAAAAAAGAAAGGTAAAATTTGACAATTATTTTCTTTTGTAACATTGTAATGTATTCTCACATATTTTCGAAATAGGCACAATCTTCAAATGAATTATTCTACTGGGATATGTACAATAGAATTCAAACCTGTCTATTCAGATCTAGGACGATGGACTTGCAAATTTACACAAGATAACAAAAATAACAATATAGAATTAGGAAGTGCGACACTCATCTTACTTAATACACTTTCTGGTCTGTAACATTATGTTATTTATTTTTAACTACTTATTCATAAAAAGTAACAAGTTTTTTCTTTGATTTTATAGATGAAAAACTTGGATGGATTGTTGGTGCTTTAACCGCTATTATTTTATTTTTAATGATTATCGTAGTAGTTCTAGTAGTTTGTAAAACTCGACTTTTTGTACGTCGATCACCAGAAATATTAGAAACAATGCCTGCTTCAAAAAAAGAACATTTCCAATGCACTAACGACAGAAGAATAGAACACGATAACTGCAATAATATTAGTAATACAAATAATATTTTTCCAAATAGGAGCCCACATTTGTATGAAAGAGTAGAAAAATATAATGTTGTAACACCAAAATTATATGAAAACTTCGGATTGTAAATTTACATTTATCTATCAAAGACAATTAAGGTATATATCATTGCTTTTTTCTTAAACCTACTATTACCTTACATGATTAAAAACATTGTTAGCTTATAAGAGTAGAATATTCATGTAAACAGTTCTAAATATTATCAAAACTTTGAAAAATATATCTTATAAATATAAAATGTAAAACAATTTCGCATTATTATTCTATTTTAATGCGTCAAGTTGATTTTGTATTTTTTCAAAATTCATATATAAATCAGTGAGGGACTTTTTATCAAATTCGATAGTTAATTTAGAATCTTTCTCACCTGTAAAATCTAACTGAAATAACGCTACAGGATTCACATCTTTAGAAATTGTTGAAGATGATGATTGTATATTTAAACACCAATTAATATCCTTTACCTAAAAGAACGAAAAATGTATAAAGTTTAAATCATGAGAGAAAATAATTGAGCATTAAAATAATCAAAATTATTAATAGTTTTGACTACAATCTTTTAATATACCTGTTTAGGAAATATAGATTTTTTTCGGAGATCTTTAATAATTCCTTTACCATAAGTTAACCATGAATTAACAAAAGTCAACGTTTTATCTTCATCCAAATGGCAAGTATCTTTTAGAATAGATTCGAATGCTGCAGGTTTTACTATATTGAAAGCAGCTTGTTTATAAATAAATGTTATTGCATCTAATAAAAATGTTAACTCCTCTTTATTCAGTTCTAACGATTTTAGGAGCTTTTCTTCTTCCTCTTCACTGAATGGCTTTCCATTGCTACTGAATTGTAGATTTTGACATATTCGATTAACAAGTAATCGAAATTTACCATTATCAATTCGACTAGCAATCTTCAAACCTTGTTGAAGACTAAAAAAATACAAGAATTAATTAATACGATTTAAGTAAACAATAAAGAAAAGAAAAATTATGATCAAATTTTTACTCTGGTGTTATGGTAACCCAACTTTCCATTACGATGCGTTGATATATACTGTTTTAATCATTTTAATTTATAACTTCTTTTACAATTAATATCAAAACATTGCATTTTTTAATAGATTTTATATAAAAGTTTATAACTTATTTAAATTAATAATAATGTATGATATATAATATATATATATATATATTATCTCGCTCTTCTATGTAATCTCAACTCAATAACTGAATCGTTGGTGATAGAAGTAAACAAAAAAACTAATAATAAGATTTCTTCTTATACGACACCTATAATTTAACATTATGTTAGATTAATTTTTGAAATGAAACTTCTTTTGGGAGGATATCGAAAATTTTCAAGTCAAATAACCTCCAATCTTTGTTCTTAACGTTATCTATCTCCCCCACGCTCAAGTATATTTTCAGACATTCGATCCATAACCATCATCTGATTGAAACTCTATTGATAACGAGCAGACTATTCTGGACCACCCATTAAATCCTCTAATTAAGTTGTTTGCAAATCTTCAGAAGTGGGATAAATGAAGAAATATTGATCGGGCAGCTTTCTCCATACCTATAGAAATGTGAGTGGCAAAAGTATAAAAATAACTGTACGTGTGAGATCGGTTAATCGATAATTATTGCGAGATGCGTTTGTTATAGACGGATGAGAGGAGATAAACTGCATTAAAAAAAAGTTAATTTGGAATTCGTATCTTTTTTTCATTGAACATTATCTTTGCAAATTTTCAAAGTTTCTTTCACTTACTGTGTCAATAATTAATAATCTAATAATTCAATCAAGTTAGCAACATAAAAAACTTAAGCTTTACTTCACTTAACATGTGGGTTTTAAGGGCTTAATTTTTTTATTTTTGTTTTATTCAGCGACATCTACTACTCTAATCGTTTCTGTTTGATTTCTTTAGTATGAGAAATAGAGATAATTTACTTGAAACAATAAAAATTGCAAATATGTTTTTCTTCGTTGATATATTTATGTTTCTTTTTTAATAAGGATTATGTATTTATACATTGCTTAATGTATAAATAAGAATTGAAACTTATGACTGCTTACAATCATTATTTCAGAATTATCAAATTTTTTGTTGTTTTTTCTCATTACTGTAGTAATTAAGAATTTCGTATGATTTTCAGATCCACTGTTAATATTAAAGCTTATTCAAATGTCTTTCGACGATAAGATTTTATCCGAGGTATATCTTATTATTCTCATATAATTTTTCAATATTAATAAATTCTTAAAATATATATATATATATATATATATAATACTGT